CGCAGGGCAGGATGCTCTTTTTAGGGGGGGGAGACCCTGGGAGAATGAAGGAGGGTTCTGGGAGGAAGAGGAGGAGGAGAGGAAGGGTGGGGGGGGGGAAGGCAGGAATCCCTGCCATCCTGGTGGGAGTGGGGATACTGGGCTCATCCCTGTGGATGTTTGATCTTAAGGGAAGCATCTAAGCGAGGAAGAGGATGGGGTGGCATCACATAGAACTGCCCCCCTCCCAGTCCTGTGGATTTGGGGGGGTTTCGGGGGTTCAGACACCCCTTCACGCCCTTGGGGTGCCCACGTCAGCTTCCCACTGTCTTTCCTGCCCCCCTTTCTCTGGGCTTGTGGGTTGATGTCCTGGTTTTCTCCTTTCCAGGCTGACACCCAGATGCAGCAGCCGGGCAGGGTCTCCTTCGAGTTCATCGATAAGATGAAGTTGGTGAGTGGCTTTTTGGGCACCAAGGGGACGGAAGGGGACAGGGAGGACCAAGGGCTGGTCCCCAGGGTGCTTTGGGGTGTTCCTATTGGGGTATATCTCATTGTCCTCAGCCCCCATCTCCCCTCTCCTGTCCCCCTTTATGGGGAGGGATTCATCCTGCCTGGCCAGTGGCCTAGTCCCAGCTTGGGCAGCTTGTGGGACCAGAGAAAGGCATTTTTATGGCTCTGTGCCTCAGTTTCAGGTGGAGTGGGGTGAGTGGTGATGGTACCATCAGGTAACCAGCCTGGCTTTTTTTTTTTTTTAATTTTGATATTTTTTTTTTTAATTTTGGGGTGGGGGTGTCCGTGTTCCTCGCAGAACGACTCCGTCTGCTACGTGAAAGCTGCTTTTCCTCTGCTGGGCAAGATCCTGCAGCGGACGGAGTTCAAGGAGAACTCGTCCAACGCCAAGAAGATGCAGATGGTGCGCAGGATGTACAGCCGCATCGACGAGAACGTCGACCCCTGCATCAGGGAGGAAGATGATGAGGAGAGGGAGGTACGGTGTCCACCCCTGCCCTCCCGGGTGGGCAGATTTGGAGGGTCTGGGTCCTCATCTTCATCCTTGGGTGAAATGGGATGTATGGAGGATGGGTGGATGGATGGAGCAGGGATATGGGGATTGTGTGGGCACAGAGAGCCATGGAGGGGTCAAACCCTGCTTTGGGTGCAGGGTGACACCCTGTGGTGGTGACATCGGGTGGCTGAGGGAACCCAGACTGAGCTCGGTTCTTCCTCCAGCTCTCCAAGATGTGCTTCGAGGAGTTCACCACCTCCCCCTACGAGATGCTGGTGTTGGTGAAACAGTTCTTCCAGGACATCAACCAACTGCTGGAGAACCGAGAGACCTTCGAGAAGGACTGCAGCCAGGTCTACAGCAGGACATGCTGGGAACCCAAGAGGGCTGGATCCTCACCAGGTGAGATGCTGAAGCTTTCCCTCTGCCCAGGCAAACCCCTTCTGGGCTGGGGATGGATGGGGGGGCTTGGACTCGCCTGCATGGAGCAGCTTGCCAGCCGTGCGTGCCCGCTCCTGGGCACACACGGGCACCCTGTGGGCATGGCACGTTGGTTGCCTTGGTCTCCGTCTCTTGTCGCTCGGCTGGTGGCCGTCCCCCGCGGGGTGGTCCTTGGAGATGTGTGGGCAAGCTCTGTGTCTGTGTCTGGGGAGAGCTGGGTTGGGAAGAAGGGACTGGCCGCCCTTCGGAGGTGGGATTTGGGCTGAATCCTGCTGGAAAGAAGGTCAGAGAGAGAGATGCTGAGGCGGGGAATAAGGAGGCATCTCCTGGCTTGGCTTGGAGGCATCAAGCTCACCTCTGTCTCAAAGCCCTGGCGCCTGGGTTGAGAGGAACATGGAGAAATCGAGGTGCTGGGACCCCTCTGCCACCGACGTGCTGCATGACCTTGGTTCTGTCACTTCAACAACCCCGCGAGCTCTGTGTCTGTGTCTGGGGAGAGCTGGGTTGGGAAGAAGGGACTGGCCGCCCTTCGGAGGTGGGATTTGGGCCGAATCCTGCTGGAAAGAAGGTCAGAGAGAGAGATGCTGAGGCGGGGAATAAGGAGGCATCTCCTGGCTTGGCTTGGAGGCATCAAGCTCACCTCTGTCTCAAAGCCCTGGCGCCTGGGTTGAGAGGAACATGGAGAAATCGAGGTGCTGGGACCCCTCTGCCACCGACGTGCTGCATGACCTTGGTTCTGTCACTTCAACAACCCCCACCACCACTCCGTGCCTCAGTTTCCCCGGGGAGAGCGTTGCTCACCGGGTTGGAAGAGCCTGCCCGTGCTTTCGCTGTGTGTCTGCATGTCCCCGGAGGAGACGTCTGGCTGTGTCCTGTCCCTGTGCCACGGTGGGGGGGACATTAAACGTGACAGTCCAGCTCCTGTCAGTCGTGGATAACCCGCTGCCATCAGCTCGGGGGACCCTGCTTTGCTTCATCCCCTGCTCTGCTTGTCCTCCTCGTGCTGCCACGTCTGTCCCTGCCTGCTCCCTGCTTCACCTTCACTCTCCCTTTTGGGTTTTTTTGTTTTTTGAGGGTGGGGGGGACTGTTTGACCCGCTTGCCCGAGGCTGCGGGGAGGGATGGGGGGGATGCTGCCCACCCCCCGACCTCAGATCTTGCTGGCTGTGCCCCTCCAGGGAGGCTGGTGACCCCACGGCCGTCTCTTCTCTCTGCTTCTTTCAGGTGTGGGGACAGATCCTGACTGCAATTGCCTGTCCCCTGCCCTCCCTTCTGCCACCCAGCCCTCCCTCTCCGCTGCCACCCGTGCCGGCAGGGAGGTGGCACCCGCTAGCACCCGTGTCCCTTATGCCACCCTCGCTGACTTAGAAGCCCCATCTCAGCCCCCCGGTAGCACGGAGGGCGGCTCGGGGACCGAGGAGGTCCTGGCTGCCGGGGTAGGTGACACGGTGTCGGTGCCATCCCCGGCGATGCCACACACAGCTCCAACCGACAGCGCCGAAGCCCCCTTGGATGTGGCCGGGACCTTGAGCCTGGTGGCCGTGGACCTCTCCGTCCTGCGTGGGGATGGAGAACTGGTGGAAGGGGCCAACCGAGCGGTGGCCTCCCCCCCGCCGCAGGAACAGGCCCAGAAGCGGGGATCCTCCATCCTCCCGGACCCCCCCGGCGGGCTCAGGACCACGGCGCCGAGAGCATCCTCCCCCAGTGCCGGTTTGGCGGGCGGCAGAGCCAGGATCCGGCCTGCCGAGACGTCCCAGCCCGTCGTCACCCAGCTCCGTTACTCCAGGATGTCCTCGGGGCTCCGGGGTGGCCCCGGGGATGGGATCGGGGCCCGAGGCTGGGGTCTGAGCCGGTTTCGGGAGCCCGAGGACGGCAGGGCCGGCCCCAGCTTTGACTCTGGCTTTGTTCTGGGCGCAGAGCGGCGCAGGAAGGAGCCGGCCGTCAGGAAAGGCCACCGGGAGCCCCTCATCTACATCACGGTGGCCAGCGTGGTGGCCGTCCTGCTGGCCACGGGAGGGCTGCTCTTCTACAAGTGTAAATCCAGGGTAAGCTTGTTGCCCCCCCACCCCCCCCACCTTCCCTGGGGCACAAGCATCTTCTCCTGCCTCAGTTTCCCCGCTCCTTTCTCAGTCCCTGTGGGTTGAGCCCCACATTCCTCATAATTTTTAGAAGGGTGGGGGGACACACGAGGGGTGGGGGGGTGAAATTTGGGGGGATTCAGCCCCCTCCCCATTCCGAGGGCTCATCTCCCTTTTCCTTCTCCCTCCGCAGGTCCTGGAGAGGCCGCTGGAGGATGGAGAGTGTGACCCCGAGGAGCCGGAGAGGAGGTGGGTGCGATTCCATCTTGCTTGGGGGGTGGCATTGGGGACCCCCACCCTGCCCTAAACC